CCGCCCCCCCCCGTCACAAATGCCCCCAGGTCTCCCCCCCAACCCCCATCACAAATGTCCCCTGGGCTAGGCTGGGATCCCCTCCCCCTGTCACTGCCTGCTATCCTTCCCCCTCCACTCCGACGTCCCTCTCTCTCAAGCCGAGGAAAACACGGTCCCTGCCACCGGGGCTTACCAGAGCCGACAACCCATCGCGCAGAGCTTCGACAGTCAGCGCAGCTGAAGCGGCGATGCGGCAGCTCTGGAAGCCCACCCTCAGGTTTAGCACTAGGTGCCGGGTGGTGAAGTCCGCCGCCGACGTACACGAGCTGCTGTCCATCAGCTCAGCCACGATCCCGCTCCCAGACACACACAGAACCCGTGGCGGCATTGCGCAGGCGTCCAACCGGCAGGCCACAGCGCGCAGGCGCCAGGCCGGCAGGTCCCTCCGGCAGCACTCGACTCCTGATTGGTCACCGCTGCATCACACACCCAAAGCCCAGCACGTGGCGGCGGTGGTGATAGCACGTGATGGGCCTGACCAATGGCGTGGCCCGCTAGTCTGATCGCTTGGGGGCGAGTGGCCTTAGGAGACAGGGAATGGTGTTTGGAGTCATTGGCACAGAAAGAGGTAACAGACCAAAGGAACCAGTTTCCGTCTCCGTTGTTCAATCAAAAACACTTATTTGTTTATTCATTATCCTGATATGGGTGTCACTGGCTAGGCCAATATTTATTGTCCTGAAGGCAATTAAGAGTCAACCACATTGCTGTGGGTATGGAGTCATGTGTAGGCCAGACCAGGTAGTTATGGCAGATACAATAGAGTTTGGAGCTGGAGGAACACAGCAGGTCAGGCAGCATCAAAGCAACAGGAAAGTCAATGTTTCGTGTTTACATCCTTCATCAGGATGGTAGATTTCCTCCCCTGAAGGACACTAGTGAACCAGATAGGTTTTCAGTGATTTCATGATCATCATTTAGACTCTTAATTAAGATATTTTTATATTGAATTCAAATTCTATCATCTGCCCTTTAGAAAGGATACTATCCCCCTATATCTTTTCATGCCTCGGAAAATACCATACCCACTAATGCAGTAATTCAAATTTCAGTGAAAATACTGTGAGTTATTTCTGTCACAAAGGCAACAGAGTGCTCTGGCACAGTTCCATTTCCTAAACCTAACTGTACTCTTCACATTTGTGTAGACCTAAATTAACTCAATGAGGTGGCAGCAAGGGAAATTCCTCCAATGTCCTCAGTCGATGAAAGTTTAGCAAAGTTATTCAAGAGTAAACTTTTCACATAGATCGACGTGATCAATTGCAAATTCCTTTGACTGAAAAGTCAAGGTTTGAGCAGGTCCAGTGTTTCTTACTGCAGTTATGAGTTTATGTAAATAATTTGAAGAAGATAGGGTTATCTTTCCTTTTGACAAAAAACTTTATATCTCTCATCAAACTAATTACCTCTTGTGCAGCACTCACAACCGTGTTTACCTCCAGTTTCCTAGTTGTAGTTAAAGTTAAATTTGGTCTGTACTATTTTCCTTTTGATTTTCCATTCAGGACTCACTGTTATGAATCCCAACAAACAACAAATCCCTGGGTTCCCTCACAACTTTCAGCATTCCGAACGAAGGTGTATCCAACTTTATTACAATGGAAAGCCTTTGATTTTTACCATCATACTCAGCACCTTCCTTTCTGATCTGAAAAAAGGATCTTGGAGCATTTTCAGCTGTCCATTCTTTAGGAATGCTTGTTTTATTATCACTGTCCCATCCTATATCCTTCTCAACTTCATGAGGATGACAGGAAAAAGGTGTAGTTTTATGGATCAACTCATAACAATCTGACATTCATGCTGCCTCTCTGAACACCAGCAAGGTGGATAAATTCCTAGGACCTGATCAGGTCCCGGAACTTTGTAGGAAGTTAGGAAAGTGATTGCATGGCTCCTTACTAAGATATTTGTATTATTGATAGCCAAGGGTGAGGTACCAGAAGACTGGAAGGTGGCTGATGTGGTGCTATTGTTTAAGAAAGGTGGTAAGGAAAAGCCAGGGAACTATTGACTGGTGAAACTGCCATTTGTGCTGGATAGGTCATTGGACGGGATTGACATGTATTTGGACAGGCAAGGACTGATTAGGGATAGTCAACATGGCAGACACAGAGAGAATGTGCAAACTCCACCCAGACAGTCACCCAAGGCTGGAATTGAACCTGGGTCCCTGATGCTGTGAAGCTAACTACTGAACCACCATGCCACCCCAACTTGATTGAGTTTTTTGAAGAAGTGACAAAGAAGATTGATGAAGGCAGAACCGCAGATGTTGTCTATATGGATTTCAGCAAGGTGTTCAACAACGTTGCGCATGGTAGACTGATTAGCAAGGTTAGATCACATGGAATAAAGGAAGAGCTAGCCATTTTGGATACAAAAGTGGCTTGAAGGTGGGCGACAGAGGCTTGAGATGGAGGATTGCTTTCCAGACTGGAGGCCTGTGGCCAGCGGTGTGCTGCAAGGATTGGTGCGGGGTTCACTGCTTTTAATCATTAAATAAATGATTTGGATGTGAGTATAGGAGGAATGGTTAGTAAGTTTGCAGATGACACCAAAATTGGAGGTGCACTGGACAGTGAAGAAGATTGCCTCAGAGTAAAAGAGGATCTTTATACGATGGGCCAAGGACTGGCAAATGGAGTTTAATTTAGGTAGATGTGAGGTGCTGCATTTAGGTAGGCCAAATCAGGGCAGGAATTATACAGTTAATGGTAGGGTCCTGGGGAGTGTTGCCGAACAAAGAGATCTTGGGATGCATGTTCACATTTCTTTGAAGGTGGAGCCACATGTAGGCAGGGTACTGAAGAAGGCATTTGGTATGCTTGCCTTTATTGGTCACTGAATTGAGTATAGGAGTTAGGAGGTCATGTTGTGGCTGTACAGGACATTGGTTAGGCCACTTTTGGAATACTGCATTCAATTCTGGTCTGTTTGCTATATTGTCTGAAACCTTCTGAAAGGTTTCAGAAATGATCTATAAGAATATAGCTGAGGTCGGAGGAATGGAGCTATAGGGAGAGGCTGAAAAAGCTGGGGCTATTTTCCCTGGAGCATTGGAGGCTGAGGGGTGACCTTATAGAGATTTATAAAAATCATGAGGGGCATGGATAGGCTGAATAGCCAAGGTCTTTTTCCCAAGGTAGAGGAATCCAAAAGTAGAGGGTGTAGGTTTAAGGTGAGGGGGAAAGATTTAAAAGGGGCAACTTTTTCCACACAGGGATTGGTGCCAGAGGAAGTGATTCCAGAGAAAGTTACATCATGATAAAGGCATCTGGATGGGTGCGTGAATAGGAAGGGCTTAGAGGGATATGGGCCAAATGCTGGTAAATGGGACTAGATTAATTTAGGATATCTGGTTGGCATGGACAAGTTGGACAGGGTACGTTTCCATGCAGTACAGTTCTGTGATTCTATGATTTCTGGTCTTCAACTTGGCATCTTATTACAATAAGCTTTAAATTCTTCCTACAGAATTGTTTCACTGAGAGCTTAATCCAAGGCCTTATGCCAAATCCATCTGTTTAAACTAAATTGCTTTACTGTTTCAAGTTCAATATAGGTTTGCTCAACTGCTTCCTCTAATTTCTAAACTTTTGCCAGTATACTTCAGGAACCAACTCATATGCAGCCAGACTAGCCTTGATTATGGCATCATAATTCATAGAAAGCTCCTGTGGCAGTGATTTGTAAATTTCAACATTCACGATGGCTCAGTGATTCAGATTGCTGCATAACAGCAGCAGGGATGCAGGTTCGATTCCAGCCTCAGTTGACTGTCTGTTTGGTGTTTGCACGTTCTGCCTGAGTCTGTGTGGGTTTCTGCTGGCTGCTCCAGTTTCCTCCTACAGCCCAAGGATGTACAGGTTAGGTGGATTGGCCATGCTAAAATTGTCCTGTAGTGTCTAGGGATGTGGAGGCTAGGTGAGTTAGCCATGGTAAGTAAAGAGATAGGTCTGGGGCTGTTGCTGGGTGGGTTGCTGTTTGGAGGGTTGGTGCAGACTCAATAGGCCAAATAGCCTCTTTCCTCACATTAGGAATTCTGTGATTCATATGCTGTATCCACTTGCAGTTTTTTGAGAAATGTCCAGTTTTCCTTTGAACACTTCATGTTTTCTCAACTGACATAGAGAATGCCTCCATGCCCTTTCTGTCAAATTTCGGTAGTGACTGTTCAAGTATAAACATTTCTTTACTGTAATTTAGATCGTGACTACAATTTTGCCCTTCAGAGCTTTTGTCAGCATCCAATGTCTTTCTTAAACTACATAATTTTAAGCCGGTATTCCCTGGCTCTCTCCACTTTTCCCCTTTCTGAAATTCAAGTTCAAGTTCTATTATCTCTATCTTCTGCTTTTTAAGTGACAGGTAATGACCGTCTACACCAAGACAGAATCTGATCACCATACATTGAAATTCAATGGTATCACCATTACTAATATTCTACTATTAACATCCTTGAAATTACCATTGGCCAGAAATTGAACTAGATCAGCCATATAAATACAGTGGCTATAAGAGCAGGTCAGAGACTAGAAATACTGATATAAGTGGAGGTTGATCCCCACTTCCTGAGAACTAAAACCAAAACGTCCAAAGAGGAGCACCTCACCCTATAATCTGTAAAAGGAGTGTGAAAACTGGTGTAACCTGCCTTTCAGCAACTTCTCGTGGTTAAATGAAATAAACCCCGAAACTCAGTTTACAATCAACAAGTAACAATTCATTTCGCTAACCCTAACAATGAATAATTTAACTAATCTATTAACAAACCAAATAAATCCATTCTAACTACTAACTATTGCCTAATAAAACAAGATTCTAATAGCATGCTATTCCAATAAATATAAGCCCCAATTATATAAAATAAAATAAAAAATTGGAATTTAGTCTTTCGAAATAACAGCCAGGTTACGTGTCACCTGGAATGCTCTGTGCCTTCTCCGTCGACTCTTCTGTCAGGAATATTCAGTAGTTGTCCTGTGGGTACCTTTGTTCTTTAGATGGTGTTTTTTCTAAGATTAGAAGAGCCTGTGAGAGCCAGCATTTCTCTCTTGAGAACTGAGGACTGCTAACTCTGGCAGATGGCAGTTAGCTCTCCTGCCTTTGCCCAACTGCCCCTTCTTTAATACCCTTGAAGACATATCAATTTCTTACAATAGGATTGGTCCTATATTGTCAAAACCATCAGATTTAAATTTAATTGGTTTTTGGTATTTAAGTGCCTGGTTCAAATTAATTGGTTAAATTCAAAACTTGTTGTCTTGGTAAGAACTGCTGTTTGGCCTACTAACTGTTCGGTCTTTTGATACAAATGTTTCAATTCATGCGCTGTCTGTGGACTTGTAAACTTTCAAGCTACTGCTCACAGACATTCTTTTAAAATTTCTTAGCA